CCAGAGCTTGGGCCGTGCCACATCAGTAGAGGAAGGCTGGGACCAGAATCTGGACGACGCTTCTTCTTGCTGGACCCAGTGTGAAACTGGGATGAGATGAGTCAGTGTTTCACAATCTCTTTAAATATTCTGATTTACTACAGCTCCAGATTCTGAAATACCTGACAAGGTGCATTAAACTAAAGCATATTTATTATGTTAGCATTTCTGAAACAGAAAATACTTACTACTATTAAGTCAGATAGAAAAATTAGGGAATTTTTATCAGGTTACTAGATGTTTTTTATATGGACAGTCCCTGAATTATGCACACACAATATACACGCGGCTTATATATACTGTTGGTGCTTGCCTTACATGGGCTTGTACAGCAACACAAGCCCTTACAAAAGACCTTGGGCATTTTAATCGATAGATATTTTCCCATGCTACTAGGTCAACAGTGGATGCTAAATAAATAATTATTCATTTCTTAATTCATGTCTCACATAGGCATTTGATTTGAAAGCTAGGCAAAGATTTGATTGAATTCCTTATTTTTCCCTTCTTGTCTTTCTTGCCTAAGCAAATGGAGTGCTGATTTCCACAGCCATAATAAGCCTGGAGGCAATAATTGATTTTCAATATTAATATGAGTATTGTTAACGTTTCTTCATTTTGCTTCTAATATATTTTCCCCATGAATCAAATGCATAATTTTGTTAACCAACCTTTTATGTTGCTACAAACTCCTAATTATATTCTTAATTTTTTACTGAACGAGGATTATGTGGTTCACTCACTGTTGGATGCAAATCTTAAGTCAAGAAGAATAAAAAGCTCATGTTTGCAACTAGAGCTACATTTGTAATGGAATCGATACCATATAGAATAATTGGTGATTTTATTAAGGCCTCACATAAAGCCTTACTCCTGGAGTTACAGCTGGAATGAAAACTCTAGGGAGCACATGTAAATTCAGGGTTTTTGGAGCTTGAACTATTGTAAGCTTATAGTTTAAGGACTTCCTAATAGTGTTGGCAAAGGGGGCTGCATTTTGTTAAACTTGTTTTGGCTGATGAAAAAGATTTTTCAATTCTGTTTGATAAGCAGCATTGTGAAATCAATGAAACTTGATGGTTTAAGCATTGTCTTGTATATATTGGCTGATTGTAAAATCCATTGACAAATGGAAGTTTTGAGGCATTTGGTGAAGTCTTCATGAAGTGAAATACAAAGGACTTTTAAACATCTACTCAAACTAGTTCTTTTAAAATCAAGTCTGTCTTTCAAGATTAAAGTTACGAGGAATATATTACTGATTATAGGTAGTTTGAATCAAGCGTTAATATACAAGAAAGCCTCACTGAGACAAAAATATTTCCTAAATGGAACTCTGTGTAGTAAAAACTCCAAAGATCAGAATGGTTGAAGAATAGAATATACACGTGAATCAGTTTTATGTTTGTTGGAGGATTTTTTTGTTGTTGAGAAATATTTTTACATATATTTATTTCAATTTTCTGTTTTCATATGGTATATACAAAACACAGCTGATCATTTATTGAGCAATGGAAACTTTTCTGAATTGAGGGTCATTTTATGAAGGTGAGTTATAATTGTTTTTATAGCAATTAAATGAACATTATTAAATGATAATTTCTTGCAAAGCACTGTGCTATATAGCTCAGCAGATACAAAATCATGATTAATATTTTGCACTTGTCCTCACAGTTTACAGCTTTTGTGGGTTTCTTATATAAATATATTATTATAATAATAATTAATAATAATAATTTCATATTACATACCTTTTTTTAACATATGCAGAATAAGAAATATAAGTATCACAGTTATATTAACAGATGTTTCTTTCAAAGATTGTTTAAGCTTTCATAGAAAAGGTCAGAATATACTAAATATTTTAGAAAGCTTTCGTTTAGTTTTACATATTGGTTTTTATATATTGATATTAAAGTATGGGTTTTATTTCCAATTGGAGGAAAGTTGTACAACATAAGTTGTACCTAAATTGCAATGTGGCACTGTATATATTTTAGAAATGGTGCAGCAAGTTTATTAATCAATGCTTAATTGCCCTCATTGGTAGAAGCATTAAAATATAAGCTTGGTCCTCATTGAATTTAAAATAATTGAAATATATATTTCATAAACCCATATAGTAGTACCTTTTTTCAACAGAAGTTTTAAAATTTTATAACTATTTTATTATAAATTTGTTGCAGGCAATAAAATAAAGATCCTGGATTAAGGGTATTTAGTAGCAAGTCTCTAGAGCATATTGAAAAAAAAAACTGGACTTTGATCTTGATAAGGGTCAAGTACATGAATCAATTGTTTCTTGTTCTCCTGTTTATGTTGAATATTATTGTACTTATCAATAGCATTTTTTTTAGTTTGTTAGTTTTAGTAATAAAGGAAACTTTCACAGAATTAATAAAATGTTCAGATGACCAAAAATGATTTTTTTAGTTTCATTATGATTTAAATAAATTCAGTCAAACAGCCAGATAGAATAGTTAAAATTACTTAAAGTCAAAAATATATAACAACTAGAATTGAATCCTTCCTATGTGTAATATTTTAGGAACTGGGACCAAAACTTGCCATTATCTTGATGTTAATGATAATAAAACAATGTGAAACCTTGATTGTTTGAAAATCCTGGTTCTTTTTAGCTCATTTCTCATCCAATCTCTAGGACATGTCCCTCATTCTTATTGTCCAAGATGGTTGTTCAGGTATTAGCCGTCACATCTCCATTCCAGGCAGCGGATGGGAGGACAGTGTGAAGAAGAAAGGAGGCAAAGTTGGGCTCCAATCATGTTTTAAATCAAGTTCTGGGAAGGAGTCATACAACATGTCAGAACTCAGTCCCTTGCCAAGTTTACCTCCAAGGAGAACAAAGAAATGTAATCTTTATTTAGGGTGGCTGCATGCCCAGCTAAAATTGTGCACTCTATTACTGTGAAGGAAGAGAAGAATGGATAGTGAAGATTTTAGAAGTCTTTGCATCCATCCTTATCACTCTACAAAAACTGCATTCTCCAGGTCAGCAGATGAATTCCAGCATGGTATATCAGACACTTGGCATTCAGAAGGGAGAAAGGGAGTAGTAGCTTGGAGGTGATAAGCTGATAGGACCCTGGAGAGAGGAAGTGATTTTTAAAATTTCTTTAAATATGAGATTTCAGAAAGAAATAGTATGAAGATTATGTATTGATTTTCTAGAGCTTCCATAACAAAGTACCACAAACTAGGTGGCTTAAAACAATAGTAATTTACTCTTTCACAGTTCTGGAGGCTAGAAGTCCAATAGCAAGGTGTCAGTAGGGCCATGCTCCTTCTACATTCTACATTATTCTTCAAGACTTTTCTTATTTTTGATGTGTCAATAGGCAAAAACAGGCTTTAGCGTGGCCCTAATTATTAGAATATACTCATCTAGATTTTTTTTCCTTTCTGTACCAAGATCCATTCCCTTGAACACCACATCAGGCATCGTGACTTCTTTGTCATTTTTGTGTACATTACACACAAATTTATCTATGACATTATTACAAGGCTCTGTTTCCAGTGTCTTCAGAGTTTACACTTTATATCTTGCCGTGAACTTGGTGTATATTATGTAACTCGCTCAAAGAAGATCTATTGACAATGCATTTTTTTAACTTTACATACTGTTATTACAAGATTCATAATAGAGTTTTTCAGTCTGTTGAAGATTAGAGTTGCTGCATTAAATAATAAAGATTTTGTTCAGGCAGGAATACAAACCATGAGAAATAATGACTAAAACTCTGACTTTTAGAAGACAGGAAAAATATCAACACACACACAACCTAAAAAACACACTTTTGTATACACTCATGTGCTCACATATGAACAGATTCAAGAACCAGCCCCTCAAAGTTGTTAGACTGAGATCATTTTTTAACAGTCCGTTATACCTCAGAACACTGATGAATATACATAGTGATGACCCAGTTGATATCAATAAATGTTTATATTTTATTACATATTCTGTTTGTAGTGTATGTTTATAAATGGTTCAATCTAAGATAGCTAATATTAGTATTTTAAAAGGTAGGATTTTTGAGGACTTAAATGCACAAGTTTTAATTATGTGGAAAATTTACTCATAAAGAACAGCTTATTTTGCAATAGAATATCATTTTTAACAACAAAATTGTTACTTTTATCATCTTTTGATTTTGATTTAATTTATATATGTAGAATTACCTATTAGAAAATAGAGGAAATTATAAGTCTGAAAGAAAATCTTGTTTACATGAAAGTAAATGTATTTGTATGCTTTATATGCTCACAGCAAATGTAATTAAGGTTGCCTCTTTGCTATGTGTTTCTGTGGAACCCATGCCTTCCTATTGTCTGTGGTTGGTACATGCAATTTGTGAATATAAATGTATGATGTCACTTACATGTGGAATCTAAAATAGCCAGACTCGTAGAAACAGAGAGAAGAATTGTAGTTACCAGGGGCTGGGGGGTGGGGAAATGGAGAGATGTTGGTCAAAGGGTACAAACTTCCAGTTATAAAATGATAAGTTCTGGGGATCTAATGTACAGCATGGTGACTATAGTTAACAACACTGTATTATATACTTGAAAGTTGCTAAGAGAGTAAATCTTAAATGTTCTCACCGCAAAAAAAAAGAAACAGTAATTATGTGATGTGATGGTGGTATTAGCCAAGGCTATGGTGGTTACCATTTTGCAATATATGAGTGTATCAAATCCACATGTTGTATGCCTTAAACTTGCATAATGTTATATGTCAACTATATCTCAATAAAGCTGGAAAAAATAAAAGTAGATATATTTATCAGTGTCTGGGTTATGGGTCTTAATGACACTCAAAATATTTTAATTCAGGGAATTAGAGTTGAGTGGTGTGGAATAGAGAATTGAGGAAGAGATTGTCATTGTGCATGTCATATAGAGGTTATAAATGCCCGTGTATCTTCTTGTCTTGGCAGTGTGTGCAGGAACAGAGAATAAGCTGAGCTCTCTCTCTGACCTGGAGCAGCAGTATCGAGCCTTGCGCAAATACTATGAGAACTGTGAGGTAGTCATGGGCAACCTGGAGATAACCAGCATCGAGCACAACCGGGACCTCTCCTTTCTGCGGGTAAAGCTTTCTCCTTATTTCTCTTCTCTTCTTTGTGAATGGATAGTGGTGTCATGATGCATAAAGACAGACCAGCTTGCTTGTACCTGATGGCTGTGCTCTTCTGCCCAACAAGGACCACACCTGTAGGCAGAAGATAAGAGATACAGAGAAACTCCCAGGAAAACTACATGAGTAACCATGCCATCATGATTGACATCCTGAGTTTAGAGCAGCTACTGTTACTCCAAGATTGACAAAAGATTCTGTTAGGGTGTAATGTATGACATCCAGCAAGTCTGTCTTTTTCCAAATTCAGGCAAGATGAAAACTGTTAGGCTGGGGACTAGGAGAGTCAGAGGACCAATCAGATAAGAATTGGTAACTTTACCTAGTCCTCTCCTTTTCTGCCCCTTTTCTGTCACTTTGGAAATTTAAGACTATTTCATATTACTGTAATGAGACTAACACTGTTAGCTTTAGAAGAAAAATGACATCCGTTTTTGAAAACCTACAAATTATTTAAAGGAGACTCACAAGAAATTACAAGTACTTACATAGGTCGATATACACATGCACATAAATGCGTATGTGTATATATGTAGTTACCCAGAGACAACTAGTTCTTTTACACACATGTGTTGGCTCTCCTTTATCCTTTTTCTGTTAAACAGGCTACTAGTGCTTAATGCCTACAGTTTCTTAAGTTTTACTCTAACCGGAATAGGTATAGGAAAATCTGAACTTCAGAGGGACTTTGACAAAGTGAGATGGGGATGTGGTCTTTTGTACAACTAAGAATTTATTCTTTATAAAAGAACTAATAGGATATATTTTAAATAACAGCACCCCTAGAATATATTTGATCTTGTTTTCAGCAAAATGTACATACTTCTCAGGAGCACTGTCTTGTATAAACCAAGATGAAAAGGTTTTGAATACTGATACAGTAAACTATTTAGTGGATAGTAAATTATTTAGAGAGCCATGATAATTTTAATAACTATATACTTAGAGAAGTAGTAAAAGACAGTTATTTTTAAATATTTTGAATGTAATAAATATGTCTAGAAATGGTAATAACCTCAGAAAATGAACCACCTCGAAACTTAAATAACACTATGAGGCTTATGATATCTGTTTTTAAAATGACTATCATATTAGCATTGGTATAGGGAATGAAGAAAGTATTTTCATATTCTACTGTTTGGCTGACAGAGTTCTGGTTCTATGAATTATGTGTCAAAAGTTTTTAATAATTATGATGTTTAATTATGACATCTTTGTTTATCAAAAGTAAATAATAGACGTTCTCTACATCCTAGAATGAGAATGCCTAAAAAGAACTGAAAACTTTTTTTTGGACTCTTCTTTCAAGAAGGAACATATACAAGCTGTTCTAGAACAGCTGCCTCAAAGGAATGCATCTGAGTATTAGTTATTAAAATTTCCTTGCAAGCTTCTAACCTGTCTTGATTGATTATTTTCAAATAGGTTTTATTCTTCAACATCAAGATAAAATCTTGAAGGTATATGAGCTTATTTGTAGATTTAGTTGGAAATGTCAAGAAACTCGATGTTGTAGAAAAGGAAAGCTAACTGAGAGCTAAATTCTGAATCAGGGGAAAGAAATAGATTAAATTGTCTATTCAATCAGAATAATATGAGAAAATTTAAAAAGACAATCTAAGATCTTTGTTTTTCCTCTTATGTTTTCTTTGTTTTGTTTGCTATACATGGAACTAGATTTCACCAGATTAACAAAAAATAGGAGTATTGAAAGTGACAGTCTTTGAAATAAGTAACATAAAAGTAACATAAAAGCGTCTGGATTATTATATATTTCATAATTTTATAATTCTTAACCTCTTATAAGGTAACAGAATAGAGTGATCAAAAATACTTTAGTCAGTTTTTAATCTTTAGGAATATGAAAGTAGCATACAGATCTTTGAGCAACATGGTCTATACTGTTGGATATTCTACTTTTATAGGAACCATTTTGAAGTAGAAAATTAGATGAAGTTAATAGAATGAACAGATTTGGGAAGAAATAAGATATGGAGGACCAACGTTTCTACTTGGAACAAGAAATAAGTTGTTTCTTTAAAAAAGTAATTGTCGGTTCCTAAGTAGCATCTCTAAAAGCTCATATAAACTTTGTTCTAACCCATGCACATATCTCTATTTTCATCTATTTATTTAAAGGTAACTCTAATAGTTTTGTTTTGTTTTGTTTTTTTGCTTACTAATAACATCATTTTTCTTTTACTTATCTTTTACTCCTTTGGAAAATAACCATTTCTAATCGTGGCATATTCATTCACTCAACAAATCGTCGTAGCCCAAGGATATGATAGCAAGTAATCTATTATCCTTGACTTCAACAGTCATGCAGTCTTGTAGAGGGCTATACACGTGTAACACATAAGTACTTGATATGTGTATGTGTATATATGTGTATATGTTAACGTATATAATATATATATATATGAATATATAAAATTTTATAATTGCTAAGACAGAAATAAGAAGCCAGAATCAGAATGAAGATATGGTCTTGTGTTAATGGTAGGCGTGGGTGCTGGGCAAAGAAAGGAATGGCTAATTCTGAAGGATTCAGGAAAGCTTGCATCAAAGAGGTGCTTGAACTGAATCGTGAGAAAAGGAATAGGAGTCACAAGGTGGATGGGTGGAAGAGAAGGGCATTCCGGTGGGAGTAACATAAGTTGAGGCTTAGAAAGAAGGCCCGAAGTCAGAGATAATGTGTACTTGTTGTGTACTGCTTTAGATGCTAGACACATGCGTACAAATAAATCACACATCATTCTTGCCCTCATGGAACCTACAGTGTAGTGTGGAGATAAATTTGGGGATGGAATAAAATATTAAATTGGAGGGGTAGAGAGTCTTATACTCTCTTATACTATCTTATAGATAGATATCTGGAAGACATCAGCATCAAATGACAAGTTTACATTTGCGGATTAGATAAGATAGTCAAGGGACATTGAAAAGAGTTAGACCAAGAAGTGGGCTAAGGCCAGAACTCTTCAGGTATCCCATTCTCTGTTTCTTGATAAGCTCAGTGTTATATCATGACTACTTTTCTTAGTGGGCCCTGGAAGTAGGGACTATTAGCTGAAATCTTCATAATACAACTGAATTGGCTGAGCCATTATTTCTAACTATGCCTTAGAATATGCTAAAAGCTCTCCATTTAATATAAAATTTCACTCCTCCTGATAACCATATTATGGTTCATTTGTGCTCTTAGTAGCTTGCCTCCAAAATATATAATCTGCCCAATATTGACACACTACCATAAGTAGAGTCCATATAAAGGAAATCTAGTTATTTCCCATTATATTATCATTTCCAATAAGTTTTGAATTGTCTGAGTGAATAGTAAACTTGCATTAGCCTATCCTGTGGATTTCATGGCCCTCAGATATATTTACGAAACTGCAATTAATTGAGCAACTTCTTAATAGAGGTGTGCAACTTCTCTTCCTCTAAGAATGACCCAAACCTATAATATGTTTAGAGAGACGTCATGAATAGGGATCTTAAATTTCATTCTGGAATTCATTTCTGTCTTTAAGAATTTAAGAAATTACCTTCGTTTTTAAAAGATTTCCCATCCTTATTTTCATCTCTAGTTAGAGAGATTGTAGTGCTTTGTCTTCTTATTTGTTTTGCATGAAGCCACTGTAATTTCTGTGATTCATGAGAGCAGCTTATCCAGGTACGCTGTTTACCTCTTTCGCTATCCGAATAGTCAGTGTCTAGAACAGCGCCTACAATATAGTAGGTTTTCATTATTAGTTGAATGGACAAATGAATATTTTTCTTAATACTTAATAATGCTTAATTATAGATCACTATTTTGCATATGCTGTGTTCTCTAGATGAATATGTCAGTCTCTCCTCATGTTATTTCAGTGTGACACCACCACAGGTCAGGTGTGCAGGCACAAGACAGGTCCGGGTCCATCAGAATCCCTTCCCGTGAGGATTTGGAATTGTGGCTAAGGGCATTCAGTTTCTGTATCAGTTAGTTTCTTGTCCACTTAAGTACGAGAACACAGCCATTTTTTTTCCTGTGGTCTGAGGTCAGAGAGAGCTGTGCAGACAGCTGAATGGAGCTAACATACTAAAACAGATGAGAAAGCCGAGAAAGACCATTCACTCCAAATTACTGATGAGGAAACCATTTATTTCCACGTTCCAGTCTGCTACTGAAGACTGGCTGCGTTCCAGCCACTGAGTCCATAAGATACTCCTGGAACTTGGTTGTAACTTTGAAGTGATTTCCCCCTTTTTCCTGAAACTACATAGGGTTGTTTTCTTTTACTATAACTAAAATATCCCACGTAGTACATCTCCCAAGATCTCAAGAACACAGAAAAAATGGGCCTTTGAAATCGGATTCAAGATAATCTGGAAAAAGAAACCAAAACAAAACCTATAATGTTTTGGAGACACTTCCTTAATCTTTCGTAGATATATTTTATGGAAATAGTTTGAAGTGTATTCTTTTCAAGATGCTTTTATTATATCAACCTTGCTGCTTACCTCTGTAAACACCTTTTAACCCAGCTTTGTTGTAGCCTCCAAGTTTTTGCATTTCTTTTTGAGAAAATAAAAGACTAGTTGACGATATTGAACATTAGACCCCTGAGACACCACATAGTTGGCTAGAAAAAGGCCCTAAAATGTATTTACTATGTACTTGATCACTGTCACAAGGTTAAGGCATATGCTAGAAAGCAGCAAGGCATAAAACCCACAGACTTGGCGCTATCGTCTTATACTTTGTGGACTCTCTGAAACAAGGCGAAATATAGCAAGTAATGGGAATGAACTGCTAGACTTTTTACCCTCATTAGAATTCTTGAGGGTTTTCTCTCCTTTGTCTTTCCATTGGTCTTCCTTGCTACTGGTAGCCTTCAGTAACTCAACACTTCTAAAACGGTACTTGACTTACCAGCTTTTATACCTTCAATTTATTTTTTCTG